TTTTTTAGTTGAAAAGCATTCTGGAAAGTTTAATTTCTTTTTGTTCTTTTATTTAATTTTTGTGAGGGGTTGGATGATCTACGTTTAAATGACTTTTTTCACCTTTTATTGCGTAACTGATTAGTGCCATAGAATTCTTACCCGTCTGACTGAAACATGGAACAAAGATGGTGAATTTGCTGAGAAGGGAACAGATACAAAGATAATGTATATGTTTGTTCAGCTATATTCTGAGATCTTTACTCTCTGTATTACCCAGCTTCAGCTGTAAAGTCTAACTTGCTGCTTCTTCCTGAAAATATTTTGAGACTGTCGATAACATTGTATACGTAAACTGTCAGTAGCACTTGCATTCAAGTAACTTTGAGTGGCATCTGCAGTTAATTTGGTAGTACAGTTAATAATCGGGGGAAAAAAAAACCCCCACCAAAACCCCACCCCAAACCCCTCAAATTCATTGAAAACAAACATGGTTCTTGAGTTCTTGTTTTCACATTTTCCTCCTACCTACAGCAGGGAACGTAAGCGTGTCTGAAAATGTCACTGCCACCCCTGCAACTTCAACAGCTGCACCAAGACTGCCTGAACCAACTCCTGTTCCTTCACCAGAGTAAGTGATTGGTGTTGGGGTTTTTTTTCCAGTGTGTTCCTAGCAGAGATTACAATGCACCAGTCTGGAATCTTTGGTAGTAGAATGCTCAGATATGGCACACTACCTTAAACAAAAAGGCGAGTATTTGGTGAAATGCCTAGTGTGCTAATGTACTAGCCAGGGAAATTTATTGCTTTAGTTACTGTTTATAGCTAATCAAGTGTTAAAACATATCATAACGGAAATAAATGTTAAAATAAATTGCTGACTTTGTTTTGCTACTCTTAGCTGTTGCAGATTTCTTGGGTGGAAACTGAATGGGTATTCTTCCAGATTTTGCAGGTTGTCTCCTGGAAGGGAGACTAATTAGGAGTGTAAGTTGTATTGCTGAAACTTCATTTAAATTGTATTGACAAAAATTCTGATTTATAAGCTTCTATTTTTTTGCTAGGCTTGCCTTGATGAAAACGTATGTGCAAAAATATGGAAGTAGGTTGGGAGGAAGAGTTGTATGTAGATATTCTATGGTTTTTTTTTTTCCCCAGTTAATTACAATTGTTTAGAATTGATTTGGCTACTTAGAGCTGAGACTCTAGCTCTTAAGTCTTAAGACATGACTTGTGCTGTATTTAGTGATTTTATGCCTTCCTAACACTGTGATTGTTGAGAGACTGAGGAAGGTCAGTGGGAAGGTTGCAGTGCTTTCATTTGCATTTGAAGATGCAGCAGAAGAGTAAGATGCTTGCCATGTAAGAACTTGGTGCTGTTTGAACTGATGACTTTTCAGGGGTGAGGGAAGGAGCAATATCCTATTGAGAAGGCTTGCTGTTTCAGAAGCAAGGGTTCAAATAACTTGTTTGCAAATTGGGATTGAAAAACACCAGAGAAAATACTAACTTAGCAAATTTCCGACTGTATCAAAACTGGTCTTTGGTCACTGGAATAAGCTTCGCTGATTTTCCAAAAGATCTTACTTTTGCAGTCTTCCAGAGCAGGCACGTAAAACTGTTGAAGTAACATCCTGTCTTTTAACTCTTTCTTTGTAGACTTGTTACTACAGATATTCCACAGATAGATAAAGAGCAATTAATTGTGGATTTGACAAAAGAAAGTCCTATTGTTCAGCTAGTACAAGAGTATGAAGAAGATACAAGCCAGTCAACGGTAACCTTGCTGCCCAGTGATGATCAGGAAGAAGACACATCAGCATGGTTTGAACTTGAGACAGAAAAGTACTGCTATGACATGGCAACAGCATGTTGCATTTCCACCTTTTCAGAATATTTGTTTAAATGGTGTTCAGTTGCAGTAGCCATGCATCGGCAGCGTAGTAAAACAGAAAGTAAACAAAGAAAAGATTACTCTGCCAGTGTTCAGCAGCCACAGGCAGTTCTGACTGAATCTATACATACATCAATAGATGAGCCTCTGCCTGAGCAATTAGACAGCAAAGTTGAACAGCCTGGATCTACTGTTGCAGTTGACTTCAGCAGTGTGGTCCATGAGGAGGTCAGTAATGAGACCACAGATTCAATTGAACTGGAACCAAGCCATCCTCAAACTGTATCTCAGTCCCTCCTCCTGGAAGTTACGTCAGAAGTTAAGCCATTGCCAACAACAGACATGGCGTTGGAGCCCGCAAGAGATGATGCAGGCCAGGTAGCACCAAGAGCGACTCCCCAGATGGACATAGCTGAGATCAGTGCAGAAACAGAAAAGCCCGAGAGCTCAATTGCAGAAGAAAACCCTGTAACTTCTGAGACCAATGTTGCCACTGAGGTAAAGGAGTTGAGCACAAGAGAGACTACTGCTACGCCAGTGATTTCAAAGCTTCCAGAGACTGTTCTGCAGCCTGAACATACAGTGGGCATGTTAGCCAGTGATGCTGGAGAAGGAAAGGAAAGCACTCCAGAAATGCAGAAACCTGTTTTGCCTCTTGTTGAGTCTTCTGTATCTGCCGACACAAAGGAGGAGGATCAGGCAACCGAAGAAGCTTTAATGGCAATTCCGGTCTCTGGGGGACTGCAGAGAACAGCTACAGACTTCTATGCTGAATTGCAGAATTCAACAGATCTAGGCTATGCTAACGGAAATCTTGTTCATGGATCTAATCAAAAGGAGTCCGTCTTCATGCGCCTTAATAATCGCATAAAAGCTCTGGAAGTAAACATGTCTCTTAGCAGCCGTTATTTAGAAGAACTTAGTCAGAGGTAAGTCTGAGGAAGACTGGTAAGAGTCTGCTGTATGTAAACACGATTTTAGCCAACTATGTGAAGGAACATACACATACACAAGGTAACACAGTGGAAGCTGAGTATCACCTAAATCACAGCACAAAGCCTTACGGAAGACTGAGAAAAGTACCTAATCCTAGGTAGCTACCAGAGACCTAGATGTCTGCAGGTCGCAAGGGTTCCCCTTCTGTATTTCAGATGCAATCACATTTGGTTGGTTTTGAGAAATATTGCTGTGGGTTTTTTAAAAGGATAAAGCGTTGCCAGGATGTAAGCGCTAATCCTGTCTGTAATCCTTTAAACAAAAAGGCACATCCTCCTGTTGCTATTAAACTGAATGACACAGACCTACAATGCCTTCTTTACTGAATCGATTGTTTCCACTTAAACTACTGTTACCTGTAATAACTCTTGTTGAAGAAAGGAGCATGGAGAGGGAACCCAGAATTTTCTATGACTGATTTATCTAAATTAATGTTTATCCACGATGCTCCTTAGCCATTGGTGAATCAGGAAATCATACCCACTTCAGAACTGGTTCCAAGGAAGGGGCTCTTTGTTATATTTACTGTTGTGTTTCTCTCTTGGCAGTCGTTTTTTTGCAGAGAATTCTCCGTAGTGAATTCTGGTCAACTGGTGCTAAGCTCTAAGGTGTTAAAATAGATTTGACTTTAACCTTGGGGAAAAACGTGGGGAAAAAACTAGGAAGAGACACATCCCTGTTTTATGTTTGAAACTCAAAAGGAAATACCACTTGATGTTTAAATAATATTTCTTTGGACAAAGAGAAGTTTTCCCCTTGCATAGTGGTATTTCCTAAAGACAAATCTAGTGCTAGGAGTTTTATGAACCAGCATTTCAGACCTTTATGCTCTTTGTTTTAGGTACCGAAAGCAAATGGAAGAAATGCAGAAGGCTTTCAATAAAACAATAATAAAACTTCAGAACACCTCAAGAATTGCAGAAGAGCAGGTATGGTTTGTTGGAGTACTTCAGTGTTTCCCTGCTTAGGAAAGTTTACTTTCAAGAAAGAGTTGCAGGGAGGTGCAGAAATTCTCTTTCAATTGAAGATTTGTTAGCTGTTCATCTGCCTTTTAAAAGCAACTCCATTTCACGCTTCCTGTTTTTTTTCTAAGAAAATTTTTAGATATGTTCCCAGTTGTTTTAGAATAAAGCTGTTTCTAGCTTTGTTTCCTGATATGTATTTGAAGAAAAATCCCTTGTCAGCTGGTACCGGCTAAAAATCTTAACTTTTTTTCATTGAAAAGACATTTATCCAGGTCATTTCCAACACTTGTTTCTTGGTTGTAGCTGCACTCAAACCCATTTTTTTTTTAAACTTGGATTTGTTTTTCATCTCTGATTTAAAGCGTAGATAAACAGTTGCCCTGGTGATGCTGAAGAGACCTATACCTCTAGAAAGGGAGAGGGGTACAGTAACAGCTTATGCCAAATTTGCCTTTGAAAGTGTACTGCATGTAACAAAAGCTTTAGTTCATTCTGTAAAATGTCATTTAAAGAAGTGGGAGCTGAGGGAGGTTTTCCCTGCTCTGCCATCCTAGCTTTCCGGAGCAGCTGTGGAATGCAGCGCTACCCGCAGTGCTGAATAATCACTAAAGCAACCGTGCATGTGGCACAGCAGGCTTAATCCCAACCTACCTGAAAATTTCTGAAGTGCAGTCCCAGGCCTGTAGTTTGCTCATCCATTAACAGTGAAGAAAATCGCGACTTGCCTGAGATCATATGTGTGCTCTTTTCTGCTTTTTTTGAATAGTATCAAATGCTGGTCAGTCTGAGCTTCTTCTCTTGGTTAACCTCCCCCATATTCTGTTCACCTTTCTTAATTTCTCATAGGATTAAGTATCCTGTTAGGGGTCTTTCCAGGAAGGATGTGATAGCAGCAAAGGACTTGTTCCTGGCTAGTGTGGGCTCCTGTCATTAAGTGGCTGGCTGCCTGATCCCAGAGCAGAAGCTATGTGTCAGCCCGCTAGCTCTGCCTGGTCACGTGCGTTTTGTAACATGACAGTACTCATCTTCCTGATAGTCACTGCATGGCGCTGGCTACTTCATCTGCCTTTAATGAAGGTAGCAGAAGTCACCGTAATGAACTTGGCATAATGTTACAAAACATTATATGATACGTAAAAATGTTGATGGTTTTAAGTGTGTATATGACTAATGCTACTTAAGTAGTTTCAAATGTTACATGAAAGTTGTGTGGAAAACGAGGCTGAATAGGTTAGGTGGCTACAAAATGCCTGGCTGTGTCAGACAGAACGCTAACTCGGTACATGTGAGAGGATATGGTCATGGGAACCTGACAACTAAATAGCATGGCCGTGACTCTCTTTAATACAGGATCAGCGGCAAACAGAAGCAATCCAGCTGTTACAAGCACAGCTCACCAACATGACGCAGCTAGTTTCCAATCTGTCAACAACTGTGGCGGAATTAAAACGTGAGGTAATTATAATTCAGCAATATGGCACGAGAACTCAAAGGAAACAGATGCATAAACATATCTCAATTTGAAGAGGCCTGGAGTCTTTAAATGAAGCATCTCATTTGAGAAGTTGTCTGTAGTGTTGCTTTCAGCATCCTTTAGCAGCTGGCCGAGGGAGGGGAGGAAAGTTTGAGTAGCTTGAGCTGGCCTGTGCACAGCAAGATTGGTGGTAATTTCTGCTACAACCCTACTAGTCTCATGATTGTAGTGTGAGGTAATGATAAAATGTAGTTGGAATAACTTAATACTCAGCCTTGTAGGGCATTGCAGTTGATACTGTTCTGTGAAATGATTCATAATGAAATTAGAAAACTAACCACTGACTTTGAAATGGCAATAGTGGGATTTGTTGCACATACAGAATTTTTAACGTATGTCAGAGGGAATGGTAAAGTTCATGCTTCATAAACTTTTCGCACCGGTTGTGTTGCTTTGTGACAGAGCTTCAGTAAAATGGGATGCTTTGCAGTATCCAGCACTTAATTGTCCACTTACATACTAATAGACTCTTGCCATAGGAGGTTTAGTGTGCAAGAGCCTACTGGCCACCATTAGAACTGGGTTGTAGTAACAGACGAGTATGTGTAGGCTGTAATGTCAGCTGACGAAAAGCATTACATTTGAGATAGTATTACATCATGTCAAGTGTGAAACAGAGAAGTTACTTCATTAAGTCTTAGTACACTTTCTTATGGAAAATATGTTACTTTCAGATAGGTTTGAATGCTCTTTGCAAGAGGCAGCGGCTTCTTTAAGTTATGGTAGTACCATAGTCAGGGAAATCTTGTCCTGTGTTACCAGCTAGTGGTTTTCAGCCTTCGCTCCTTGAATGCTGTGTAGCCAATAGACTACATCAGACCTCTGAAAAAACACACAAATTTGATCAAGTGTTTAGTGAAATTGAAGGAAAGTGACTTGAAAACATGTCACTTGTGTTCTTTTAAAGATATTCACCTTTAAAACAAGAAAAAAGTAGTATCATTAAATTATTCTTTGTCTTTAACAAGTATATAAAATTCTTCCAGGTTTCTGATCGGCAAACCTACCTTGTGATTTCTCTGGTTCTGTGTGTCATCCTGGGCTTGGTGCTCTGTGTGCAGCGGTGCAGAAGCACATCTCAGTTCTGTGAAGATTACCTCTCAAAAATTCCCAAAAGTAATCACTACCCTAGCCCCAAAAGGTAGTGTGTTTGTATTTGCAACTAAATTGTTCTTGCATCTTTTACTGATGTAGCGATAGGACGACGGGTAATGGCCTTAAGCTGAAGGAGGGTAGATTTAGATTAAATATTAGGAAGAAATTCTTTCCCGTGAGGGTGGTGAGGTACTGGAACAGGTTGCCCAGAGAAGCTGTGGATGCCCAGTGTTCAAGTCCAGGTTGGATGGGGCTTTGGGCAACCTGGGCTAGTGGAGGCTGTCCCTACCCATGGCAGGGGGTTGGAACTAGATGATCTTTGAGGTCCCTTCCAACCTAAACCATTCTGTGATGCTGTGTTTCCTAAATCCGCTGGGACTGGCACATCTATTTTAATTCTGCAAACTCAATAGCAAAGAGCCATTACTGCTTTGCAGTAATGCTCTCCTGGGAGCATTTTGGGGCTACTACATTTAACGTGCCTTGATAGTGTGTTGCAAAGATAGGACTGTGTCTGTTTGCCAGGCTTTCTTGGGCACCGGAGTGAATGACTGATACTGTCCTTCTGCCAGAGATGTTTCTTAATGGAAAAATGCATATGACAGTCCTGAGAAAAGTGGGTTTTTAAAAAACTTTGTTGATTTTTTTTTTAAATTATTTTTTCCCCTAGATGTTTTTCCTCCTATGATGATATGAATTTGAAAAGAAGAACTTCGCTTCCACTGGTCAGATCACAGTCTTTTCAGCTAGCTGGTAAAGAAGGTATTACTCACATATTGTACATCTAGTCTCTAGTGTTACTCTTAGTGCTGTACAACGTGTGTGTAACTGCGAGCGTATGAAAATGGAATTGCAGGTTAATGTCAAAGTACACTGGATTGTAGTAGTTCACTTATACATTCTGTAGGACAAGGTGGTTCATGAACAAGTTATCAGACACTCCCAGAACTGTGCTAAATCACACTATAACATTAAGTGTAGTCTTAGCATCTGTAGAGTATAACCAGTAGCATTCTTGGGGTTAGTAGCAATCCATGCAGGCATTCGGGTCTACAAAGCTATGAAGCTTGCAGAAGGCGTTGGTGTTTTTTCAGTGCCAGGCGTGGGAAGTCCAAGTGCCCTACTTCTCGGAAGTCCCACAGCCTGTCTTTGAAACTTGGCAGATATTTAAGATCCAAATCTATCTAATCTGTAGTAAGAAAATTTGGGCAATTTATCTTGGTTTGAGTATAAGGAGTGATACGGTCTTTCCAGTATTCATGTTACACTTGGGACAGCTGAATTTTGATTTCTTGGGCCATTGTCATCCTGCAAAAGCAAAAGTGCAGATTATAGTAACTACCAGGTATGCAGCTGACACTGCTTCTCTGGGTGCAGCAAACTTCACGTGTTTTGGTACTGTGAATAAAACTGCATGAAAACCCATGAGTTGGGAATGTGTTGTAATAGACTCGCTAAGGCATAGACTATTTTTTTGCCAAACCACATTTTTTCCAAATTCTCCCCTGCTTTGGCTTGGAAGAGTGATTTACAAAGCCCTGATGGAGGAATACCAGACTGATCTCGTGTCAGTCTGAACATCCGTGTCCTTGATAAGTACACACACGTGCTTCTAGTATCTGTCCTGGTGTGGGCAGGCTGCACGTTAAACACTACTATAGTGGTAACAGTTTGTTTTCGTAGAAGCTCCCTTTTGCTCACTCTTGTTCCTTTTCCTCAAAGGATGTTCTCGGCACCTCCTATGGCCTCATCTAGCAGGAGGTCCAGCGTTTTCAAGTGTGTATCACTGACAGCACAGGGGAATTCCTCTGTGTGTTGACTTCACTTCGGAGGTTCACACGTTCTACCTCCATTAGCTTATCACAGGAGCAAAAACTTGTGTAATAAGTGGACTATTTTGTCACACTGTTATTTATTTAGAATTGCGTTGTTCTAGAGCTGGCAGTGTCAGGACTGCTAAATTTATGTTCCCTCTCTTACAGTGGATCCGGAGGACCTGTACATTGTAGAACCCCTGAAGTTTTCCCCAGAGAAGAAGGTACAGTGACTGTGGGGAGGGCAGGCTGGGCTGAGCGTGTTTCTGCCGGCAGGTGGAGCACATCTCGGCTGCTTTCCCCTTCCTAGGCTTGGTTTTTACGCTCTGCTTGTCTTGCAGAACCTAACTGTTTCTCTTTTTTCACTTGTGGTTTCAGAAAAAGCGTTGTAAATATAAAAGTGAAAAAATAGAGACTATTAAGCCAACAACAGAGCCTCTGCATCCAGTCGCCAATGGGGAAATTAAAGGAAGGAAGCCGTTTACGAACCAGAGGGACTTCTCTAACATTGGGGAAGTTTATCACTCTTCGTATAAGGGTCCTCCATCTGAAGGAAGCTCCGAAACGTCATCGCAGTCTGAGGAGTCCTATTTTTGTGGCATTTCAGCATGTACGAGTCTGTGCAATGGGCAGACCCAAAAGACAAAAACTGAGAAGAGGGCTATAAAACGAAGACGGTCTAAAGTTTCAGACCAAGGGAAGCTCATAAAAACTCTAATACAGACTAAGTCAGGGTCAATGCCAAGCCTGCATGACATAATCAAAGGAAACAAAGATATAACAGTGGGAACACTTGGTGTCACGGCAGTTTCTGGACACATCTAAAACTAGCTGAACTTCTCAAACAGGAGAGTGTTTGTTCGTTTGAGAACAGTCTGTGGTATTTTGTGGGAGGATAGTGGGAGACGAAGAGCTCAACTAATTGGAAAGTATTCAGAAATTTGGTTTCTGCCTTTTTAAATAGATGGGATTGTGTCAATCTTGGCTATAAGCTGCAGCTTTACAAGGCTGATAATTTCCTATGAGAACAGCTTGGGGGGGAGGGAGGGCAGGGTTCATTTTATAAAGGTTTTTTTTCACAGTTCCTGGGGCAGAGATTTTTTGAAACCCAGTTTGTTGGGTGGAATAGGGATAAAAGCCTAATCCTCTTCCTTTAGCTTTGTTCCTATTTCTTGCACCTTCCCATATTTATGTGCCTTTTGTCTATTTATAATGCCACTGGAAGAGGGGAGATACAATTGTTTGTCATTTGATTTATTTTGTAATTTCTCTAGCTTTTTTTGAAGATGCAACACTACAGTGCTGTAAAGGGACACGTGTTGGCCTTCAGCTGGACTCAGTAATGTGGACTGGATACTGTAAAAATACTAATGGATGGACTTGCCTGACTAGATTCTGGTTTTGCAAACTCGGTTGAGGAAAATACCTCACTAGGGATGGTAATCACGTTTATTTCCACCTTCGGTTACCCATTGGAGCTGTAGTCTGATGTACTAAATGAGTGACAGTTGCTCTTTAGGATTTCCTGTGTAGATGGGATCTTAGGCTGATGAATTCATTTGCTATCTAAACTGCCTGCTGTAGTTTTCCGAAGGAAACGAATGGGGAAAGCTCACTGTTTCTGTGCTGAGACTTCAGGAAAAAGCTCAGCTGAAGAAGGCGAGGGCGAGCGGGAGCAGCCGGGCCGTTCTCCGAGCCAGCTCCGGATGCATTGAGTTTGCAAAGCCTTGAAGTCTGACGAGTCAGGTTGGTTCCAAGTGGGTATTCCCATAACGTTTGCTTTTGTATTGGCTAACAACTGTGCAGTGTTTGTATGGCTGGTATTTTCATATCCAAGTGTTTTTTATTTTGACTGTGATTGTATATTTGGATACTATAGGATGTGCGATTGCTACAATGTTGAGTGTGTATCTGAGCGAGTGAAACAAAAGGTTATCCCTTTTGACAGGTGTTACAGGTTCACATTGTAAAAAATAAGTTAACTTATTGAGCACTTTTAGTGGTACCCTTTTTAACTGATCTAATGCCTTTCCTGGGTATTGTATGTAATGTGACTTATTTAAAGCCTTTGGTTTTTTTGCTGCTTTCTTGTTAGTTTATGAATACTTTAAGGTGATGTATTTTTGGAGTTGATCTGCACAATTAGCCAGTCAGAGCACATGAACCGGATGTGTTGAAACGTGAATTTGGAAGGGTTTCAAACCTGGATGAGGAAAATATATACCACCTGAGTGCAGCATACGATGTTGTGGAACAAGAGTTTGTAACTACAGAGCTGTAGTGCCATTAGAAACTGTGAATTTCCAAATAAATCTGAACACTTTGTCTTTAATTTACTGGCATTTTTCCTTTGAAAGTGAAACTTGTGGCTTGATTTCTTCTCTGAGAAGGACTAGTCTTTAAATTTCAGTGCAGAACTAGGACTGGGGTCCTATGGGCCATAATAAAGGGTTCACAAACTTATTTGTCAGCCTAGATGTGTTCATCTATTTAAAAAAAGAAAAGGGGAGGAGGGAAGCTGAAGGCTGAGTGATGGTTTGTCTGAAAGTTCAGGAATCCTGGCCGTGTAAAACTGCTAGAAGAGTTTCCAGCAGGTGTCAAGTCACATCTTGACCTGGGGGATCCCTAGAAGCAGTAGGTTTCTGTGAGAATAACTGCATGAGACTTCCTCTTGGTGCTCAGAGCTAAGGTTTGTGAGCAATATGAAAGGCCATCACAAGAAAATGTTAGATAGTCATTTATCACTTCAGAGTTTTCGGATTGAAGCTTGCCCCTTACTGGTCCCTTCTTCCTGACTGATTTCTAGCAAGCATAGCAGCGCTGCATGCAGCCGAATGCTGAATTCGCCAGCTGTCCAGCATCTACTCTGAGCAAACGAGACCTCCCCAGCACTAATTTCTCACTTGAGTGTCTCAAGACTCTGTTTCATCGTAGGGAGTGCTATGACTTAGAAAGCAATTAATTGAATGTGGTGTTTGTTGGGGTGATGGGGGGGGTGTGTGTTTTTGGGGGGGTGGGGTTTTGTGGTGCAGGGGTTTTTTTATTTTCTGGCCTTTCTCTTGATACATGGGTGGTAGAAGTGTGCTTTCCTTTACTGCCCTGGCTATTACTGAGCTGTCCTCATCTGTAAGAATCAGTGGAAGCTGGACATGATGGAATTCTTCACACAGCCCTTCGTCACTATCTGGTGATAAACCAAGGACTGACAGACCTAGAAGATGCCGATAGGTGTAGAACGAGGCCAAATGAGTCGTGATGCAATATGCAGGTGGCGAACGGGTCTCTAACGGGGGTTTATGTTTCCTTGGTTTTAGCTGGCCTCTAAGTGTTGGATGAAAGCAAATTTGGTTGTGAAACTGAAATTAAGCCAAAGATGGTGGTGGCCATGTATATTTATCAACTACACAGTATGAACATATAGCTCTGGGGCAAAGAGGGGTTGTCTTTCCTGGAAGCACTGGTTCCATGGATGACCAGAAACTTTCTTCCTCATCCTTTTCCGTTGTGCTGTAATGGACAACTTCTTACTTTGTCCCGCGTACGTTTGCTTGCTGGACTGGATTACCCCACAGCACTGGTGAGCAATCCTTGAAGACCCCTTGGAAACAACAGCTGAGGAATTGGCAGCACTCCTCCGAGTCAACAGGAGCTGGTGTGAATTCAGCTGGCGTGACGGGGAGCAAAGGCATTGCCCCAATGCAGGCTTTTCCAGTATTTTAAGTACCCGGCTAACAGAAATTTCAGTCGTATGGTGAAAAATACCAGCCTGGGATGTTTTTTTGTGCTGGGTCACAGAGATGGCTGTTAGCAGCAATGACTTCTGTGAATAAAGCACAGCTATCGTAGAGTCACTGCTGGCACGTGTCAGCCAAGGAGTCACTTTCATACTCTCACAAATACACTCCCTGACCATTTCAGCTATGTCTAGGTCTAAACTTTCCAATCAAAGCATAGGTTGTGCCTCAGCCACCGAGAAAATCAGCATCTGAAGGGACCTACGGAGCCGATGGTGCTATTGCAAACTGGAGAGTGTTTGTTCTGGCAGTAGACTGGAGATTGAACCACAGCTTCCGCCTGCTGCTGCCGTGCTGCTTTTAATTTTTTGTAACCACTTTTATTTTTTTTAAAGGCTCTTAATGTCAAATTCTTACTGCTTAATGTTACCCTTTCATGTGGGCTCTTGAGTCATTTTTTACTTCCAGTTTTATTAATGTCACAGTCTAGCTTTCAAAACTTGATTCTTTACTCTGGTGATACCATGTCTCTTAAATTGGTCGTGATCTTTATATGGAGAGAATAGTTTCTAATGAAGACAGCTTATAAATCTTGACAAATTCCTCTGGCATTGTGGATACGTAAAGGGAGGGCCTAGTCCATCTTGTAGTATCACGTAATCGGGTTGGACAGTTGTCAGTGTGAAATACCAAGAAGACAGTATGCGTACGCAGCCGCGAGGGCTCCATCCTTGCAGGTCTTGAGCCCGAGGTCAAAAATATTTAAGCAACACAAATGCTTCCATGGGAGGATGGGTAGTCAAACGTACACGTTGTATAAGCGTTTGCCAAACTAAGGTGTTTAGGTTCTATACATCAGGCATCAGAGTGGAAATCCAATATTTTTAAAATACACAGACTCTACCAGTTGTGTGGTATTGGTAAGTAGAAAACTGAAGTATAAGGTGTCTCTGTGCGGCTTCTGCCAAGTTACAGTGTGAGATGAAACAAGACGGAACAGCTTAACATGCTTCACTTCATCGGGTACAAACATGTTCCACTTCATTTGGAACAATTACAGAGCAGAGCCCCGACCACAAAGTGCTGTGGGTAGGCATCGAGCAGCGTGTCTCATCTCCTGGAAACCCTGAGTGTCAAACGGCATCGGGTACTGCTGAAGTTTGTAACAGCTCGAGAGGAATTGGTGTTCCCGGAGCTTCTTTAGGTAAAATGTGTTAGCTTAGGAAATGATAGCGAAACTCGTCAATCTTTCTTACGCATCCCTTCTCTAATTTAAGAATAGTAATGTTAAAAGAAGATACCAAGGAGCTTTCTGCTGCCTTGCTGCTGTCTCTCATATTGGACGCGTGGCCTGGGAGCTGTAACTGGTCTTGCCTGTGCTGCTTTTCATTACAGTCAGTAATTAAGTCACAGTTAGAGGTACGGCTTTTGACAGGGAATAACAATTAAGTTAGCTCTGCGCTTTGTGAACCCTGAAATGGAAAAGAAATACTTGCCATCTTGAGGCTTGTTTTTTCTCGTTAGATGTGATGGTTAGAGTCTACATCCAGCTGCTGACCCCTCTCTGAACTCACAGCAAACAAGAAGCCTTGTCTGGGTTGTTTTTCTTTTCTTTCCGTCCCCTCCCAGAAAAACAACTCGAAGCAGCTAATGAATATTTTCTGTTAGTCAATTTGATAGGGTTACAGCTGAAGTGTCAAGGTTGTGTAGACTGTGTACGGGGGGGTGGGGTGGGGGAATTGTTGTTCTTGGTTTGTTGTTTTTGAGGGGTTTTTTGTGGGCTGAGGACGGCTGCTCCCAAGAAGGAATAAGCTGTCCGGTACCAGCTAGGGCACGCTGGCCAGCGGAGCCAGCTGGCGCTGCCCAGGGCCGAGGCCGGCGTTGTGCTGGCAGCCCGGGGCAGGGCAGGGATCCTGTTGGAGGGCTTGCGAGTGCCGTTCTTAACCGTCACTGGGGAGGACGGGAAATCAGCATCTGTACGTTCGCTGTGGTCTTCCTCACAACCTCTGAGCGGCCACCACACCTCGTTCGTTTTCTCCCATGACTGAGCTACTGTACGTTATGAAATGACCTGCTGCTTTCTCGGATGTCATAACCACTCTTCCTCATTTCCTTGATCTTATCACAGGCACAAACGAAATAAATCTTAGTCTGCTGCTTTAAATTCTTTTTCTCGGCTGCTTTGGTTCCTTCCCTGCTTGGGTTATTTCCTTC